ACTCTTCCTCGGTTGTCTCATCCTCAAATGCAGTAATCCACGAATGAACTGCGCTCTGAAGTCGTGTGAGAAGTATCGACTGAATCTTGGCGTTCAGCTCCCGCACCCAGAAGTCCAAGTTGACATATTGTTCAAGGTTCAACTGGTCAACGGCCGATTGAATCGTATCCAGTCGGCTGTGGAACGCGGCTTCCTCGTAGGGGCATGTACTGAGTTCCTTCAAGGCTTGTTCAACCGTGGCATGAATGAAGTTCAAAGAGACTGCTTTCTGCTGGAGTACAGAAACGGCGGCAGCGAAACCGCGGATGAACATGCCATGCTTACTCTCGGTGTTTTTGGCTAGTCCAAAATCAGTTCCAGTAGGTAGCAATGGGCGAGTTTGTCTGTTCTCGGAGTAAAACAACTCATGTGAGTTGATGAAGGACTCCCATCGAAGCGGTACACCTTCACCGACAAGTCTGTACACTTCATTTCGATATCCGTTGAGAAGGACAGACTCCTCTCCCATGACTGCAATTTGACGAAGGGTTTGAGAGAGTGTTCTGACACTCTCCATCAAGCTGACGGCATAGGGGTAAACACGCTTCGCGTCTTTAGACACAGTAGTAACAGCATGTGGCACTGAGTAAGATTGCCAAGTCAGGTTGCGGGTTTCCTTGAACAAGGTAATAACCTGAGGGTCGAAATTGACGTTGAGTTCGAGGATGCCACCAGCAGATCTCACACGAGCGATCTCAAAAAGCTGTCCAGAGATGGAAATTTTGCGTCGTCCGACATCGTTGAGCCAGGCATCGTAGATTCGGCTAGTGTCGAGCTTCTGCTTGAATAGCTCGCTCTCCTCTTGTAGCTTATGGCCTTCGGCATGCAGAGTCCAGTCAGGGCCAAGAACGGCTTCTACCTTGCGCATGTACCCGTCCAGCTGGAACTCAATCTGGCGTGCCCAGATGATGGCACCAGATACAGGGGGGAGATCACGCAGTTGAGCCATGGCGTGTGTTTCTGAGTGGCCATACTGCTGCTTGAAGCGTTCGTGCAGACCGTTAATAGCCTGCTTGACGTGGTCCATCAGCTGGTTCTGGTACTCTTGGATAGCGCCACGAATCTTGGGGCGCACAAAAAGTGCGTTGAACTTGGAGAACACTCGGAACATTTCGTTTGCAGTCTTAGCAGTAGCGAGTCGATCGCGAAGTCTAGAAATGATGGAGTTCTCTACTCGTGTCGTACGCTCGTTGTAAAGATTCTCGGCTCGTACCCATCGTTCTTTACCCTGGTCTGTAACATCCAGCATGTCGACATTCTGAAGAGCCTCCCAAGCCTGCTTGACTTCCTCGACAGCGTCAACATCGCCCATCTCCTCCACAATAACGCCATCAGATCCAGTGGTCTCAGCCACACCTGGGATAGTGGCCTGTGGGCCAAGGACGGTAACAATAGTGCGTTGGAGCTGCTCATGGTTGTCGCGGAAAGTACTGACATACTTGATTCTTGCCTCAAGTTCAGAGTGCTTCTTGACAATCTTGATGGGTATGAATTTCTCGTTTCGGCGGCGGGTCACTTCACGGGCTACATTGGTAAATTCCTTGATGTTTTCCTCCCAGGTCTGGAAAATATGGTCACAGGTCTGCATGATGTTCTTGAATTGCTGGTAATCAAGGTTGACCAATTCAGTACCTGACAACAGTCTGTGAAGCACATCGTCCAGATCGGCGGAGATAGCTTCGACAAGGGGAAGAGCCCTTCGGATAGGGTAGGGACAAATCCTCAGCTTCTTGTTCAGGTGCCCAAAGATTTGCTGGATGGCCTCCTCGACCTTGGACAGCGAAGTGGCAGACAGCAGCTCATCGAGGGGGAAATCTCGCATGAGCTGGTTGTACTTCTGTACCTTATCCATAGCCTCCTTTAGACCCGTATCGGCCGTGAAACTCACAGTAGCCTGGAAACGCTTGGCATTCTTGAGGATTTCCAGCGTCAGGAGAACTCCTTCACTACGGAGCTGACCTTCAATCCCTTCTAGAGCTGACTCCATGGACAACCAAAAATTGACTTCCTGGCTTGCAGTACTAAACTCCTGGTTCGTATTCGAGGAAGGATCCTTGGTCAACTTGGTAATTCCTTGAATCGACTTGATCCAGGTATTGACATTGGCCTGTAATCGGTTCAGGAAAGTACTGTCTTGAAGAAGGTTCTGAGGAATCCCGTCGATGGAGGGACGGTTGTTGTTGGCTTCAGCGTCATCGAGAACGTTCTGGACAATCGAATGGAACGTGAGGGAGATCTCGGGAATATCGACGTTCTGCTGGAGGTGCAACAAGCTCAATTCCAGGTCGTTGAGTCGTTTCTTTGTCACAGGAATTCCCGTTTTCGCATCCACATCGGCTCTTCCTCGCGAGCCGTTGGCCAGCTGTTGACTCTTGGTGTTGGCATCAAAATACGGTACCAAGGCGTGGTGAACCTGAGAATGGAGAACCTCCCACGGGGAGAGTACCGAGCCCTGTTCTCCAACTCCAGCGTTGAGAGATGCAGGACCAGGCAGATTAGTAATGAATATTTGAGATGTAAGAGGTCGGATCGGATCTATGGGCTGAGGCGATTTGATGAGAACAAGAGAAGCAACGGTCGTTGGCGACGAGGAGATCTCGGTGGACAGCGTATAGTTGTAAGCAGCGGGCGCTATATTCACGTTAGTAAAGACATTCTATCCATATCATGGCCTTACGTACCTGAAGGGTCAGCACCAGGCTCTACTGCAGATGAGCTTGCGAAATCCTTCTGGATATAGAGCACATTCTGTGTATCGTTCGCAAAACGTGTGCAGCGAGAAACAGTCTCGCCGTAACGGGCTTTGTGAAGCAAGCTTCCAACCTGCTCGAGTTCATCCCGTGTAGCACCAAGTGCGATCTCACAGACAGAGGCCAGATGCTCGACGACGCGCTCCGGCTCAATAGTGGGAAAGGTTGGGGGAGACGTAACGCCGTTAGCGGAAGCTCCTGGGCTCGGCACGGCGGGCGAGGTGACCTCCATTGTTGTTAAATGAAAATCGGAAGAAGATTTTATGTCCAGTTTAATACCTCCCAGTCATTTCCAGGTCGTCGCTTCGGTATGGGTATAGGACGCAGGAAATCGAGGAGGGTCTGTCTATGTGGCGGTCGAGAGCTTTGGGTTAGGCGAAATAGCTTTATGGCAAGTCAAATATTAAAACAGCTTTAGCAACATCAAAAGATAATCTCAGAGACTAAGGAGCGTAGTGGTGAGTATCAGCAGGGTTCGTTGCGAAATAAAGTCGTGGAGATGATATGAAGTCCTCAGCGACTGATCGGGGTTTGGTGGAATGAGATGAGATTCACCATCCAGGAGTTGTTGACTTTCGTAAGGGCACCGCACCTTAGGTTGGGTCTACCGAATCTACGCGACTTAGGTTCAGGGGAAACCCCTGTCGCGACAAGTCTGGTCGGCAATTGGATAGAATGGATGTGTCAGGAGTCGATTGGAGGAGAGTGCGTCCCGCTATCGAGCGTCGAGCCCCACCTCTCATTGAATTTCAAGCAAATATTCGTAGGAGCTGGTACTGGTGCATTTACTACCAAACAAATAGTATGGTTTTGATATTATAACTTGTGCTAGAGATCGAAGGCTCATATTCGCGTTATCAGTGATCCAAGTACTCCGCAGGTCTAGATACAAATTGCGTAATTCCCTGTAGCACTACAGAGTATGATAAGAGTAAATCCAATACTTCCGCCTGGACCCTTGAATCCAAATCAGGCATATTAAATCTTTCCTATACCCCCTCTACCATTCGAACAATAACCCGCATAGAAACACATGGCATTGAAGCCAATGAATGTTGCAAGCCGCCATAGGCCACTGCAGATTGATGGGGTGGGACAGGATGTGACCCGCCAGTTGAGCTTGCACACGAGCTTTGGTTGGCCAGAGTCTTCCTACCAGGGCCTCCCCAGGTTACCGGCTAACCATCGTGGCGGTCTCCCGCACCGAGAGGGGTCCCGTCTGGGCCGCATGTTAATGCACCAAGTAACATGAGAGCTTTCAAGAAGGGTTCCAAATGCATGCCATTTAGATGAGCCCACAACATGTATGTTTCATGTCATACATAGAGTCCCTGCAAAAGCCACATAAAAGCGACAAAGGCGGGCATCAAACAAGATTTGCCGTTCTGAACGTGTGCATGGCGGCCGTTTAATAGTTGACGGAACGATAATACTCTGACCCCTATCTTTACTGGCCCAACTTAGTACCTGCTAACACAGAATCAACAAGTGTGAGTAAGTGGGTACTTTGACGATTAGCTTTACTCCCATCAGGTATCAGAAAAGTTGTTCAGTGGAAGCATAAGGGACGAAATCAGTGGGTCAGTTTAAGCTACTTAGGATAAACTTCGTAGGCTGTTTATTTTTGTATCATAAAGCTTGAAGGCTAACTTTTCTAGCACCCTCTAGACTCTATCCATCCAACGAGTTGCACTAAATAAATCTCAAGATATGAATTAACTCGACGTTTGTAAAGCTAACGTTAAACTTCTTGGGTCCACTACTTATCATATCCTTCATGACTAGATCTTGGGAGGTAGATTATTAATACGATTTAGTTGCAAAGTGCCGGTCAGATAGTAGTTGGTGGGCGTTCGCTTCGAGTATGTTTGTGATTTCAAGGATATACAGAATAGCTCACACTTAATACCTATGCAAGATCAGAAATGACAATGTATATTCCACACCTGCACCATGTCTGCCGCTATAAAAAGACCAGTTTACACGAATTGCGTTAAGCAAGTTGCATCATAATCTTAAGCCATGCTCCAAAACATAACATACCGTCCATACCCGTCGATAAGAACGAAACATAAAGCCAAATCATCAGTAAGCACAAATGCAACACATTACCATTTCAAACGCCCTCATGATCTTCCAATGTCCAATCTTCAATATCCTAAATACTCGTGATGCAGGCCACTGGACCGACCAATGCGCCATATTGAGACTTTAGACTTGAGGCTGGTTTGCCCCATTGCCGTTGCTTCCCGCAAGTCGCTGACGTTGAAACATAACCCGCTCGTTACAAATGTCGATGAACTCCTCAAACTTCTTAATGATGCCTTCTTTCTCCACAAGTTTTTCTTTTAGTTCACTGATCTCTTTGTCCTTTTCTTCTTCCATTTTTTGCATATCCTCACGAGCCTTGGCAATTTCTCGCCTCAACTCTGCGCGTATGCGGTCTTCGGGAGACTGGTGAGGTTTGCTGTATATGGCTGGTCTGTTCTCGGCAAGACCTGTGGCAACCTTTTGAGGGTTGCGGTTAATAGCCGCGCGAGCATTGTAAATATCGCGGGGCAGGAGGTGACAGTCCGGGTTCTCGGTCTGCAGTATCTGCAGCGTCTCCGAGACGCCAGCGCCTGCTCATTGCAGTTAGTATGGAATCGGTTCTTGTGGTCGATAAACTCACCATTTTCCTTGAGTTGCTTAACAGCAGCGACCATTTTGCTGTCGAGCTTGCGGGCAGCCGGGTGGTGCGAGGGGCTCTCGCTTGGACCGTGATTATGCTGAAGATGAGAAGGGTCTGGGCGATATCGAATTGTCCACTGAGTTCGTTGCTCAATAGCAAAGAAACCGAATGGGCAATCACATTTTCGAGAGGAAGTCTTGCGTTTTCGGCACTCAGGACTGACACGGCTTGGTGGTTTACCAGCACGATCGCAAACAAAAAGGACCTTCTTCAATCCAGGCACAGTCTTTTTCGAACGGCCAATGACGATAGCATAACCGACAGAAGTGCAGTATCGAAGAACAGCCTTTTGGACAGCCTCGAGAGTTGGATAACTCCCACCCTCTGGGGGCGGAGACATCATCTCGCCCAATGGCTGCGTGGGAATATAATTAGGGTCGGCAAGCAGTTTCATATCCAAACCTCCAGACTCTTCACCATTGGCATGACTGTCGATATCCATCGATTCTTCTCCAGCAGCATCCGGTTTCTGCTGTTGTGGCTGCGCCTGCGCCGGTTGCTGGATTGGCTCTATAGGAAGAGGCTGTTGCTTTGGCTGCTGCTGGGCCTGTTGTTGCTGCTGCTGGGCTTGCTGCTGTTGCTGCTGCTGGGCTTGCTGTTTTGCCTGTTGCTGAGCTTGTTGTTGTTGTTGTTGTTGTTGTTGCTGAGCTTGTTGTTGTTGTTGCTGCTGGAGTTGTTGTTGTTGCTGCTGTTGTTGTTGTTGCTGCTGCTGCTGCTGCTGCTGCTGCTGGGCTTGTTGATCTCTCTGCTGCTCTCTTTGTTGATCACGCTGCTTCTGCTGCTTTTGTTGACGGGGCGCTGGCTGCTGATGTGACTGAGCTCTTGGCTGTTCATGCTGTTGTGCGTGCTGGAGCTGTTGTTGCTCTTGTTGGGGGGTGCGGAGCTGCTGCTGCTGGGGGTGTATTTGAGCCTGTTGCTGCTGCTGATGTTGTGGGTGAACTTGCTGCTGATGATGTTGTTGCTGCAGCTGTTGCTGCTGCTGTTGTTGCTGTTGCTGCTGAAGTTGTTGCTGATGCTGCTGCTGCTGCTGCTGCTGTAACTGCTGCTGTTGTTGCAGGTGATGCTGCTGTTGCTGTTGTTGGAATTGTTGCTGCAACTGCTGGTGTGACTGAGCCTGTTGGCTCGACTGCTGAGGCAGGGGGGGTGACGGTGCCTGTGGCTTGACCTGGACTTGGCCAAGCTTTGGTGTTGGCTGAGCTTGTTGAGATTGAGGCCGCTGCTGAGGAGATTGCTGAGCATGATGCTGATGGAGAGTTTGCCGAGGCTGGTTGAGAGGATGAGAGGCATGGCTTAAATGTTGTGGGTGTATCTGCTGTTGCTGCTGAGGATGATGGAGCTGATTGGGCACGACCTGTTGCAAGGTAGGGAACATCATCTGAGAGCGTGACTGTGGTACTCCTCGAGGGTTAGACACATCGAGCGGGTTTGGCACTGCATTTGGCATGTGCGAGGTTGAAGAGCGGGAGGGGCCATTAGAAAGACTCCCGTTCACATGCGTGGGGTTCGAAAACAAATGCTGAGGGTATCCAGTAGGCGGCTGCTGAGGCTGATATGCCTGAGTCTGATATGGAGACGCGGAATGAGGCGCGGGTGATTGTTTGTTCTGCTGGCCCGGATGAGGAGGAGGATATGGGTTGCGGCGAATACTGGCCTGGGGGAAGTTGAGGCCAGTATGGTTATTAGATCCCGGACGCAGACTCGACATGTCGTCTGGTCAGGCCCCGGCAAATGGGCCGGATTATAAACGCGAAGGTATAAACGCGAAAGTAATTGAACAAGCAGAGACTAATGGATAGGCCGGAACTGTTGTTATTGCGTTCGGCAGCGAAGGGCGAGCGAAGTAGGGTGCGATGCGACGTGACGTGACGTGATTTGGATAATCGAGTCGATTTTATAATGGCAGACTTGGTTACGTGACTCTCGCCAACTCTTGATGAAGCTGTCGTGGTCCGTCGTCACGCTCCTCGTGTAGATGTCGTGGCCCCGTTGCCGAAGCCGAAGGCCGTGACGGTGGCCGGTGGCGGTGACGGAGAGCAAAGGACGAACGATGCCGCCGTGACGTTGATATCGCCGGGCACGAGGTACTGCTGATACGGAGCGGAGCGCGGTGGTGTGCGGTGCAGTGTAGTTCAGATTGCGGAGCGTGTGTATGAAGCAAACCCTGGGACCCAGGATCTTTGGGGGTGTCGATAATGAAGCTGGGTTGGGCTGGACTTGGGGGAGGAGGAGGCGTGGAGTCGCGGGTTCTGCAGAGGCGTGGACAGAATTATGGGGATAGGAAAAATTTTGGCCCGCGTTGCGTCTGCCTGCCTGTTTGCCTGGCGTGATCGAGGCCTGGGCGAATGGGGGGGGGTTAAAATTGGCAGGGGAGGGGCGAAGGGAAAACGAGAACCCGGGGGGAAGGAGACAGACAGACAGACGTGCGTGAGTGACTGAGTGAGTGAGAGGGGAGGTGCGATGAGAGTGAGTAGGGAAAAAAAAAAGATGAAGAAGTGGGAGGGCAAGCAAAAGCCGAATGGGTGCAGTGCAATGCAATGCAGTGCAGTAGAACAAAATGGACAGACACCCGACGCCTCTTCTATCACGAGCTACGGTACTGTCCCGCAGCGTACTGTAATGCACTGTCCGTGTCTGCGCTTGTTGTTTGGAAAGGTTTTTAAGTTAGCACGAGTTCTTGAGTCGGGAAAACTGTCAAAAATCGAGTCACAGATGAGATGGGGGGAATGGATGGGATGTGGAAGCGGATGCAGAGACAGGAGGATGGGAGTGAAGAGGGGAATGTGAAGGCTAGAAGGGAGTGGCAGAGGCAATAGCCGTGGACGTGACAGCGGAAGGTGCAGACGCAGGCGCATGCGTAGAATCAGGCGCAGGCTGGTACAGGATTGGTAAGGCGTGTGTGCTCTTGTTTCTTTCAATCTGGGGCTGTCAAATGTTTCCCTATGGAACTGTGGGGGATCTTGCAGCATGGCGCTAGGCCTCTAGTCCCTGTATCGATCACTATCGGGTAACTGGCATGAATTGATAAATAATATTGAGACGCTGTTACATATTTTAGATTGCCTTTATCCTTGTGGCATTTAAAGTCTCAGTATTTTGATAGGGGATTTCTACTAATCCTGTTTGTTTTGTCCTCTAAGTTCTAAGGGTTCTTGAGAACTAAAAGAAGGTATGTATTTTGAGCCGGGATATTTACCTGGGGATAACGTATTATTGCCGAGTCTCTTACTTCTGAGACAGACTTGGATTTAGTGATCGAAATTGGTGATTAGAGTAATGAAATTACCGGGACTCGACTATCTACGCAAGTCAGGGGGTGGCGGTTGTAATGCAACGGTGATTAGAACTCTGCGTTTAAGAGAACCAAGCGACTTTATCTTAATAGACGTTGATGACAATCTTTACGTTACCCTTTGTTAATAAGGTTTCAGCTGTATAAAGTCATACATAACAGCGGCTGTCATGTCTTTTCATCTATCAGTGATGCCCACCTACCAATGTAAAACGGACGATCAATCATCTGAACTATTGTCATCAACTACCATACTGTCTTGACTCATTCATGGTGTTTGTTCCTTGCCACGTGATATGTCTCATCTTTCCTCGATCCTGTCCAATAACTTCGGTGCAGATAGGAAACACTCGCTGGACAGGCGTTCCGTTCCAGTTCAGAACACGTTTAGTCGAAAACGGGAATAGTCAGTTAATGATTGATGTGTCAGGCCTTGGTTCAGCCATAGCGTCACCATATCCAGGAATCTCTTTACTCAATCGATTGCCTACCTACTTCGCTCTAAATTGGCATCTGTCGAATTGGCACTGGTAGATACGTACTTAGTGTATCAAGGAGGAAAGGTTGGAACTATAATCCTTTTATATCACCAAGAGGTCCTGGAACTATTGCTTGTGTATAGACCACGTCTACCTACGCTAGTGGATAGTAGAAAAAATGGCCCCCTATGCCTTAGGGTATAAAAACAAGTAGTCTAAGAACTATAGTCTCAGGAGCATAAAGTGACCTACTAATTTCGTCTCTTATGTTTCTAGCGGTTTAATTTTTCTGATGCCCTGAGGCTACGTTAGTAAATTCTGGAAAGGGAGACAGGGGTTCTCCAAGATCTTGCGTTGCCTTGACCTCAATATGAAGCTTTATGTTACACAAATGGCTGTGGATTTCTCTGTATTCAAACTGTATGGGGCCATATATAAACGACTCTTGGCAGGACCCAACATATTACAATACCCCTTGATGATATCTTCAATTAAAATAAGTACTCCAGTGTCATCAACCACCCAAACGCCGTGTTTTGTCTATAGTTGGTAATAAAGATAATGAAGGGAATGAGGACACAAAGGCTACTCCATAGAACTGACACAACACTTTGTTAATATTCACTTGGGTGTGACTGTTGGCAGTCCTGCTGCCTGGCATCACCTCATCACTCGACTTTCCTCCTCTTGTTCGACCGCTTCCCAGTATCTTGGCCATCTGTGAAATGGCCCTTCTCAATTTGATGCTGCCGCAAATTGTCTGGTCTGTTTTTGTACTGGCTTGTGCATCCAGGGTATTGACAACGGTAGATTATTGGAGGCTTTGTTGAGTGCTGCAATCTCATGTGCTTGGACAGGCTGCAACTAAACCATCTAGGGTCTCCCTTGGGGGTGTAGTTGCAAAGCGTACAGCCTATATCCGACTTTATCTTCGCCGTGGAAGCCGAGGATGCAACCGGAGCCGGCGTAGGTGGCGAATTCGCTGATGTTGGCGTCGCCTGCACCGAGCTGGTGTCTGCAGGTGTGGGAAGTGGTTGAGGGTTCAATGTTCTGGTGTTGATACTACTAGACAAATCCGTATAGTCGAGAGGCTGTCCGGCATCAAATGGAAGATTCTCGCCAAAATCGAACGTTTCTGATGTCGTCGAGTTATTGAAGAAGTCGATATCTTCGTCAAAAGCATACTCCATCACACTATCTGGTAATCCGTTAGGTAGTCCGTTGTCTTGAACATGCTGGGTATTCATCGTCTGCAGGGGTGGGATCATTATCGTCTTTATCAGCTCGACGCCATGGCAGTAATATACAGACCGGAGGTTCCCTCCGGTATCATTTTTGAAATACAGAGGGTCCATCTGATCCCTCACATGGCGTATATAGCCATCAAAGTAGACGTGCGGAGGTAACGACATCTGGACCAAATTGTTTAGCCGTTTAGGAACTCAATAACCGACATATTTAAACTTACCTTTCCGATCTCAATCAAATGAAGTTCCAGACGCCGAGCTGATAAGAATTCGGAATTGACGCGCTGTATAAGGTTGTTCAGGGCTGTTGCAAAGTGACCGTAATGAGTGTAAAATTGAAACTTGTCTTCGAGAGTGAGACTTGCTTGTTGTGAATCTATATGCATGCTCATGGCGAAATGCTCCAGGTATAGCTGAGAGGTATGGATGACAACGTCATCAACAACGTTCAAGGTAGCAAGTTCCAATTGATCCAGGAAGTATTTTGCAGCAAATACCAATGAGTCGGCATCAGACTCGTGCATGTTTGAAAATCTGTGTTCTTTTCCTTTGAGACTCGACGAGCGTGAAATTGTAAAGGACGTCTTAGCCCGCACAATGTTAACAACATCAGCATCAGACATCGCAGCTGGTTTCCAGAGAGCTTTGACAACCTGTATATACATTCGACGATCTTCTCGGGAAAACAAAGTGCTGTATGACATTGCCTGGCCGAATAGTTCTGCAGATCGATTGGTTGCATCTTGTTCATGAGCAATGAGGGAGAAGCAGTAGCATAGGTGAACAAAAGACAGAATGTCTATGGGAACAGTGGGCTGACGGCCTTCAATGATATTGACGAGAATTTGGAGGCCATTTGCAGCTATCGTCTCGGTAGATAAGCTTTTGAGCTGTGTGGCAAGAGGGTTTTTGGTAACATGATCGAGTTTGCTCATAGAATCGGCGACATGCAGCTTGAGAGTACTCCATATTGTACTGATTAGAGATCGAGGGTTGTGATATGAGCTGGCTGTTGGTTGTGGTAGAGTGGAAGCCATTGGTGGTGACATGACCGTATGGTCATTGGTAAGGGCGAGGTTCGACTCAAGATCGAAGTCGGTGGGAAGCGAAGAGTCATTCAAAGTAAAGACTGGCTGGACAAGAGCAAGAGGGTCGTGAAAGGTGTCGTCAGAAGGCAAGGCACCCAACATTGGGAAGTCTGTGGGGCACTCGCGCGGGTGGGAGTCATAGGACGAGTCTGCCTTTTTGTCCAACGACTCCCAGCCCTTAGCCGCGGGTGCCTTGCGAGATATGGCGAACGAGTTTGCCCTGAGGAGGCCTCCTGGGCTTCCAAATCCATTCTCAGATGAACGGAAGTCCGAATCAAACACTGGTGCACTTGCCCATTGATCAGAGTATGCTGAGATAGGGGAGATGTTGTAGCTCTCTTTGCTAAATGTAGTGTCTGTGGTGTTTGTGCTCGAAGTTGAGTTTGTACTGGCTGTCGACCGAACTGAGGTGCTGGGTGCCACTTGGCCCTTGCTACGCCTCTTTTGTTCTCGTCGATACTCTTCCAGACCTGCTGTGTGAAGTTGAAGGGTGGGCCTTCCCAAAGCCGTGTTGCAACCAGTGTCTGTGAGGCTTACAGGATGAACTGTGCCTGGTGGGAACATGAATTCAAAGGGCTCACCAGGAGCTGCATCTGATTCGAGCTCTGCGGGGTGATTAGGCAGAGCCCGATTTTGGACAGGCAACGATGAGATGTATGGGGTGGGCATGGGGGCCAAATCGGGTTCTGCCTCATTCTCATGATCATCCTCTATGATAGAATGGAGAGCTAGACCACTGGAGCCTATCTCATGAATCTCGTTCGAGGGGAGCTCAAGTTCGTTCGGAGCCACAGCTAAATCATAGCTAGGTGGTGCCTCAGGATCACCAAGGTCGAGGTCGAGATCAAAATCCGGTAGGGTTGAGTGCTTGGACTTGTGACCGAGAGAGTTGAAGAAGCTCTTTGCCATGGACAATATCTTTCTTCGTCTAGAAGGATGTCCTAGGCACCTTTTGCATTTGGAGTCGTTGAAACGCTCGGATTTTCCACAGTCGTAGCACCAATACTCACTCGAGGATAGCCAGCTGCATGAGTATAAATGCTGGAGCATGAGTTCGTGGTTGGCAAATCGCTTGCGGCATCGCAGCATAGGACACTCCAGCTTCTCCTGGGGAGTCAGTTTGTCGCATGCATTCCGCTTGACGGCAGCCCAGACGATGAATCGATGAAGAGCACAGTCGTCACTCGAGGTATCGCGGGTCCTGTTTGCCAATGAGCCGGGAGTTGAATTTGACGATATGGTGAAAGGAAAGTTCGTCTCTTACACGCAACTTGATGATACTTCACTGTCGTATGACACAACAGACGAAGCAGAAGAGGAGGATGAGTCGATACTGAATCGCCTCAGACTTATTCGATGGCTCGGACTTCGAGCAAGTCGCCGTAGGGCTGAAGATCCTGAGCTAGGATTTATACTGTCCACTGATAGACGAGTTTTTGAATCCATTTTGGGCGTCGATAAATATGAATAAAAATAGAATCTGATTCTTTTCAAGATGCCCCTAGATTCTGCTAATGGGGTAGGGGTTTGAAGGTTAGGTTAGGTTTCTCTGCACTGCTACAGATGGAGTCAACATGAACAATTTCAAGTAGGCACCATAGGGTAGAGGTGGAATGAAATGGGAGCGGATCAGATAACAAGTACAGCAGTGCCGAGATGAATTGAGCGTTATACACCAGACATGGTTGTTGTGGTCTTTTTCTTCTCGTCTTTTGTTATAATACCACTGAGAGATGAATCAAAGAACGGGAGGCAGCTCGTGGAGATGCTGTCCTAGAGCGAATAAGACGGGAGGGTGTAGGACTCGAGGCCTGGGCTAGGACTAGGACTTGGGACGGAGCTTGGAGCTTGCGGCTCGGAAGGGACGTGATTGTGGAGGTCGAATGAATGGGGTTGGATTGGACCCATACCATGCAAGTAATAAGTCACCTCTTCGTGGTAGGTAGGTACCTACATAAGGCGATACAGCCTAGGAACTACAAATGAAGTTTCGATATAGCCGGGTTGCATTGAGAGTTCTTTCTTCCTTTGATAGCTGTGCTGGTTTGACTAAAATGTCCTTCTACCGAGAGATGTCGGTCAGTACAGTAAGAAAGTGGTCAACTGGAGCAGAAATCAGACTTGCCATCAGCCTCGCACAGCTCACTCAGAATGGAAGTGCTGCATCAGTAAAACCACAACCCATGGGTCACATCCCCCACCTCGATTCCTTGCTTATCCCTGCTAGTTGGTCCGAGTGGCTTAGGAGGTAGGCAGCGAGGCGGACACAGCTCCTGGCCCCCAAGGCAATCAATCGTACAGAGAGGGAGGCAGACAGACATAACATCATGCTAATGACGACAATGGTTCTCTTGTTGTCTTGACTTTGATTCTCCCGTCTAGTGAGTAGCAGCAAAATTGACCTCCTAAGTCTTAGGATATAAAAATAAGTAGTCTCAAGAACTATAGTCTAAGGGGCATATAGTGACCTACTAATTTCGTCTCTTATGCTTCCAGCGGTCAATTTTGTTATTTTTATTTTTTTAATACCCTGAGGCCCATCTTCTTCAAGCGGTGCATGCCTCTTGATCTAGTTTCCGTTCCTTGTAATATTGATCTAGTTTGGTTTGTTACAAAGTTTCCGGCTAGTGAGTTGCGTCACACCGGCAGGTCTTACCTCAGCAGACTAGCTCCCCAAAAACGTTATTGAATCAGGCCATGCTTTATCGTTTTGAATCAATGGATTTATGCCAGGATAGATATATTTGTGTTGGTAATAGGTAACCAACCTATCGTCTCCGTCTTTGGCAATCGAGACAACTGTGGTACGAATCCTGCCTGTCTGTGTATGCCAGTTTATAGGGTAAACTCCATGAAATTTAATGTGAGGTGTTTTGTATTTGACTTTCTTATGAAATTCCCTGTCATATATTCTACCCAAACTATGATAACCATAACTACACCATCGGCACAATTCACCTCCGTCCGCATTCTAACATGCAGGAACATCCATTGCAGCAAGAATGCCACTGGACTGCATAAAGCTTACCAGTCACCACTCAATCACATTCGGGGCCTTGGCGAGCGTGTGCCTCCATGACCTGCTTGAGTATTAACACCAGGCGTTGTGTAACAGCTTGCCAACACAATCTCACTTGATTTTTCACCAGGCAGTCCATTTGTCCTTGTTATCCGCGCAATATTTTATACAAAAGTTATTGACAAAAGAACAAGGGAGCTCGCTGATTGCTCCAGTAAGGCTATGCTATATCTGTACATATAAACAATTTCTATAATTCCTGCGACCGTGCTTCGTCAGTAGTCGACCTGTTAGGCTTGCTCTTCTTCTCCATAACTCCCTTCAGTACGCGCAACTTTTCCTCGGTGACCCGGATCGCCTCTTTCACTTCCCTTTCGCCCATGCGAGTTGTACGCAAGTTCTCTTCCACTGTCTTTGGCTCCATGGCTCTCTTTCGCACACCAGCGTTATCGTTGTGCAGACGATCCATTCCGACACGCTCTTCTAACCAATCCCAAAGCTCGCTGTCCTCCCGTCGCCACATCTCTTCGTACGCCGCAATCCTATCAGGACGGTAAATGCCCCCAAGTTCGTGACCGTAAGAAGCGTTTCGGCTGGGGCTGAAACCGAAACCAAACCACATGGCAACCAGTAAGCCCACCAAGAGCCCATACATAACGTTGCCAGTAAGAAGAGGCTGAATTATATCGCCAATGGGCTCCAGAATTCCCCTCACTGGTTCCAGAACACCCCAGTCCGCCTGGACAGGGCGTTTGGGTGCGGCGTTAGTCTCGACAACGCCAGTGGTCGACTGCGACTGCTTAGCCTTCTTGCCCTTCTTCCTCCCTCCCTTAGATCCTGGACCTTGGGGCATCGTGCCCTGTGGCTTGGATGACACCGCAGCCTTGATAGCTGCAAACAAATCCTTGCCGTAGGTGGTCTGGCCATCGGTGGCGCCTTTCTCGATTGGACCTAAATAAATCATATTAGCATTTGCTTTGGAAAACCTGAACAGAAGTTTTGGTTACCTTTCAGCCAACTCTTGCCAGACCATTCGATTGTACAGTTCATCTGCACCCTAGTGGCATTGTTCTCAGCCCAAGAGAGGCAGTATCTGGTTTTCACAGCAAACACGTTTCCACTTGGCACGTCTGGCGTCTGAGTTGAACATGTGAGGTTGACAGATTTCTCGAGGTCAAGAGTTTCTATCGTCTCCGAGGTAATGGTCTTGGTTTGTTTTGGTCCAATTGATCCATACAGCGGCTTGATGTATGAGAATGTTCGAGTTCTGTTGTCGAGGGTCAGGCCCTTCTTGTCTTCCATTTGCAAGTCCAAGCACTTCTGCTCCCCTGATAGCCAGTTAGACATAAAGGTAACAGACGCCGGGCCAAACATTAGGTTGTAAACCTTGCCGAGAGGTGCTGGGATGATGTCGTCTCCGACGATTCTGTCATAATGCGACGCCGAATCACCACAGTCAGTGGGCGCATGCGTTGCTGGACCCGGAAAGTCCGTAGCCCCTCCAGATCCAGCAGGTGCCTCTTCAGGAACAGGCCCGCTTGGGAGCGCTGCTCCCGATGCTTTCCTTGAGGCAGTCTTCTCAACATCGGCATCGGCACCGTTGGCCTCGGCAGCTACGCTGGCATTGTGCATCTCTTCGTGAACATCCTCGTCGTAGTATTCCTCCTCCTCATCGCTATCATCCTCTGTTTCTGAGCCCTCCTGGATCCCGTCCTCAGCAACGGGCTCAGCATCTACCTTTTCTGTTTTATCACCGCCGGTGCCCTCAAGCCTGACACCGTTGAGTGTACTTTTCAAGGTAGGGTGCCCCAGTTTCCAGATATTGACGATTAAATCATACGTAGCATCTCGGCTAGTAAAACTAGCAAAGATATGTTTGGCATGCAATGTTGAAATCATGAGTCCGTTTTTGAATAGAAGCGCGGTACTTCGCTTCTCGACAGACACTATCTCATCAAAGCTCATGACAAGGGTTGTGGTCCAACCAAAAATATTACTACTGAAGCAGAGATGGCCCTCTGAGACATAAAGCCGTCCGTGCGCCAGAATCTCTCTTTGCAAAGCACAGCTATAGTCTTCAATAAGATAGTCATCGTCTGGAACACTCTTGAACAGATCATGGAAGTCACGATTTCGCTTCTTACTGGCAATGGCAAATCCTGTAAGTTTAGGAGCGCTCAAGTTGGGATGCGCCAATGAACTATTGGCAGCAGCGATCGCAGCACCTATGGTGGTGCCAGTAGTGACTGAGCTTCCGCGTTTCCTGTGGTTTTGCCGCAGAGCACTTCGGATGCTGGACGTTCGTTGCACGCCATTCTCTTTGTTCGTGTAGTCGGGTGGAGGAGGAGTGCGTTCGCGGCTCATAGGCTCGTATAGTGAACGCGGGCGGCTTGACGACTCATCCGGAGCAAAGTCTACAGGGCTGATGGGGGAATCAACGGGGGCCGATTCAGACCGAGCGCGTGTGTCCACATCAGGGAACCTGGCATTGACCGGGGACGCAACAAGGCTGGGTGCTTCAGCAAGCCCAAGTTGGCTGAGACTTAACTCGCCAGCCCCAATTGTAGACACCGCGGACTTTCTGTTGCTTTCCTTCTTGTCTGCCATCTCTGCCGTAGTGAGAGTAGGTTCGGCGTCGTCTTTGGCGCTGTCAAGTTCGGGCTGTTCCTGGATATTCTGGGATACGCTTCGACCCTTGTTTCCACCGATATTCAGGCTGGTGTTACTTAATGTGTTGGCAGCGTTCTGAGCAGCCGATATCATAGAAGAGAAGAAGCCACCTGAAGGGTTCGGGTTTGCGTTTGGCGTCGCCTCACCACTTTCTGGGGTCGGCGTCAACGGGGCGGAGACAATGTGAGAGAGTTTGCTGGGGCCGATGTTTTGTGAATTGGATCGACTCCTTCTGTTCGCGCTCATGCTTTGCGAGGAAGGTCGGCCATTTGCACCCGAGCTACTTGTCGGACTACCCCAGAAGGATTTCCGTTCAGGAGACGACTGACCGGATCTGTTGGGAAACTCGGTAGGCGTAGGTGGAGTGTTTACTATAACAGGCGCCGGCTTGTCACCAGTCGGAGGGGTTCGTGGAGGAATATTCGTGTCAACCTTGGGTTGGACTCTCGCTCGCCGTTCGGGCGAAGCAACTTTGGCTGCAGCTGGTGGCTCGAGGACGGGGAATCTCTGCGTAAAATCAGGGTCCACCGATAGGGTGGGCTGTTGTTCGTCGTGACTCTCGAGGGGTTCGCTCACTGGTCGACGTTCAGGACTTGAGCTGTTTCCGGAACTCTTCTTGGGTTTAAAAATGTCCTTCAATCTACCACCTGGCGAAGGAGAGCGTCGAGTAGAACTTTGAGGGGGAAGCAAGCCCGTCTTACTCCGACCAATCCGGGGATCCTTGAAGTCGGCCGAATCGAGAGCCGTTGGTGGAAACGTGGACGACTTTGATGTACTGCTGTTGGAGTCGTGATCCGAAGCTGGCGGCTGAGATTCCGGTTGATACTTGGTTTGTATGATTGCAGAATTTGTGGTCAAATGGCCGATTTGAGAAGGATGTGTCGAGAAAGGTGGTGGATGTCGAGAGTTGGACCTAGTAAGCAGTGACGATGATTCCAGTTAGATTGATCAGATTGACAGAGCACAGACGGTAGCATGAATAAGTGGAGTTTGATAGGGAGGTGGACACGGGAAGACGGCAGATGAACCAGGCCAAGCCAGCTGAGCCCGATGAGATGTTTGCTGGAGAGGAGACGAAACAAAACCGAAAGAGAGAGAACAGATGACAACCAACAAAGGTGAAGCGCCTTGTGGAGCTTTGATCTCTCATCTTTTTAGTGTGATACGATTCATATGTGTCTCCTTTTGGTGTCATCTTAATTAAGCATGGATGTCGCAGAACACCCAACCGAGGGGTCTCAGCCTCGTAGCTGTTCCCGCGCAACAAACATAGACAAAACATGCCGGATCAGGACAATCATCGTCATAAGAATCAAGGCAATGACGACAGACAAGGAAAAAAGCCCGAATATGGAGCTAGGACAGAAGGGAGGGAAAGAGATGAGAAAGTTTAAAACTCACGAGTCGTTTCCATCAGATTCGTAGGACCGATGGCCTTGGCTTGTACCCTCGTCCTCGTCACCCCCAATATGCCCAGAGCGGGTGCCGTCGCTTTCTAAAGTTTCGCGACTGGATTGCGAATGGGCAAAAACACTAGAATCGTCAAGCGAAAACCCTGCCGCTTCCCGATCTTGTTTTCTTCGAAGGCGCTTGGAAGATATTGACTTGGGCAACAGCTTATTCAGACCAGAGTTGCTACTGTTATCCAAGTTTGTTGTCATTGTCGCAGTCGCAGTCGCCGCGCGCCGACGGGACTGGCCGTTCGAGATCGAATATGATGGGAGAAAAAGTTTCGCTAGTGCCTAGGTACTCGTATTGTCGATGTGTTTGTTGCAGCGGCGATCCCTGAGAAACAGATGCTATGACGGTAGAATAGAGCTCGTAAGAAAGTTGTATGACGCTGGTGTAGAGTGTCTAAGAAGAAGAGAAGGAGTAGAAGGCAAACTATGCGGAAAACAATAAGCCGCTCTAATCTCTGATAGGCGATAAAGGTCAAAAATATAGATCGAGAGGTCGTGAGGGCTTGTAGTTGGGATCAAGAGAAGGAAGAAGCCAGCAAGGATAAAAGAGTTGACGTCGTTGGTTTGTTCTAGCTCAAATGATGGTTAATCGTGACAGGCCAGACTACGGGCGACCTGGAGGTCCTGGGCCACACCAAGTTGGGCCAAGTGCTTGATTTGGTTTCTGTAGAATTCCTCACTCGATTGGTAAAGTATCCAACTTCAACCGCATGCGTTGCTTCCAATTTGTGACATGTAGAGCAATATTATATACAGTAGTAGAGTATTTAACCGTGGCTATTTTGGAAAAGGGATAATTAGTCTGCGATGGCCCTGGTTGTCAGCGCAAAATTGTCTTCTTTCGGTTCGTGTACCTCCTCACTCAAGTGTAAGCTCTAAGTTGGAACCGACAAACCAAGCCCGCGTATAAACCCCCTGCGCTGGGGCCGCTTTGTGAACCAATCATGGTACGTGCAGTTGACAAGATGGAGATTCGTCCTGATCCTTGCTGAAGTTCTCACCAAATAATAATGAATGTGGACTACGGAGTAGATTGCGTGGCGCAGCAAGGGAACCCCCATCGAGTATCCAGTGTAAGATGTCCTTATAGCTGGGTACCTACCTATTCATAGAATTTCACTAGGGGTATAAAGGAGGTCGAGCGAGTTCGGGGTTCTAAGAAAGGTAACACAGATGTTTTACACGTTAGTTGGCCCGTAGATTCGGGTCTTTCGTTGGATTCGTCCCCGATCTACAGAGTACGGATACGGACAACGTTAAAACCAGCCCTTTGTCTCCCTTTCTCATCTATGGGGGGCCATCGATCGGCCCGAGCCCTTGAGGTGGCATTGCTAGTGTGGTGGAGGACCAACAGTATAAGCTCACATCAGCCTGTTAGTTGCGCAACTTGAAACATTACTGTACATAAATATCTGTACTGTTTATTACTCTGGAGTTTGAGTTGCTTCAAAATGTTAGTAGTGAGTGCGTGCACTATTCTTAATGTTGATGGAGTCATTGTTTGAATCAGTCAGGTATCAGTAGTTTTTATGCATTGACTTGCATATACAACCCAGGCAGACATGCGGAGTCCTGCAGCACCAAGCTCTGATGACATCTGATTCATATCATATTTACCAAGAAATGCGAGCAAAGCCATGTATGTTTCACAGCTTCTCCACAGCCAAAGCCAGACAACGAGGTGTCGTCATGAAATTTCCGATCACTGTAAGTGATTATTCTACCTACCGAATTGAGCAATTAGCCCCGCCAAATGCTAAAGTGATCACCGATAAGCTTGGTATACGAATAAATCATTCTGTTAAAAAGTGAATGACATAGTTAACTACTACAACCATTTGTCGCTTCATGAACTGTTGGAAAATATCTCTTATACCGGATTTTATGTCATATTTGAACTCTGTCTTTAAACTTTACACTAATGTCAAGACGTTCCTCCAATTTCGATTAATTACAGTTTATTGTTCTAACAATATACACAGTCTCCTCGACGCACCGAGATTAGGAAGTAACTTGACTGGTCTGTTATCTCTTCAACTCCCCACATTTGACCTTGTCACGTTTCAAATCACATCCCTCAATATCGGCTCTTTCAAGTACCTACAATAGCAAACATACAACCTTCACAAAACCACAAACTCCTGAAATCCGCCCATGGAAATATGGACTCGTCGCCACTTGTGAAAGCTCACGACCACGTGCGCGCTGCAGGCGTAGCCCACCAGTCATCAGACAGCACAGTCGCAATCACTGAACATACTCAAGCTGCCGGTGAGTTTGCCAACGCCGCTAGGTCGACCTCGAGCATCGAAGCTCTCCGAACCCTCAAACTTCTGGAAGAGCACCATCGAAAGATCGCAGATATACTCAAACGACCCACCGCGCCTGCTCCCCAAGTTGACGATACCGATCTCGGCGAGAAGGATTCGTCCGACAAGACCAACATCTCCTCCCAAGATGCGCACGACAAGAGAGAAAACAAGAATGATTCTCCGGCGTCTAAGAAAATAGCTCCTCCCACCCAGAGGCGATATGCTCACCGCGAAATGTCTTCATCCATTGCCAGTAACTTGGCTAATGCTCGTGGTATCCCGTCAAAATATCGAGGCCAGCCTCTTGCGCCGAGTGTTAGCAACGACCAGGCTCCAGGCAATCTCGATGCAGCAAGCCATCCTCGGGGAACAAAAGCCAAGATGCAAAACATTATTGACCATCGGTCCGGTAAACCAACATGGGTCCCTCCTGCCCCTGCGACCACACGCTCCGATAGCCATGGCAAGGGCTCATCTTCCCCACGGTCTGATACTGCATCTTCCGTGGTCGTTAGTGACGATGGCGGGTACACACGATTCTACAACGCTTTCGGAAGTATCATGAACAAGATTTCGGCGCCTTTGGCCTTTGCTGGGCTGCCTCTGATCCAAGAAGAATCCTCCATCTCAGAACCCCAGGATTCTCCAGAAATGTCCCCCAAGCGTAGTCACCTTAAGGTCCCCCCATCCAAGGTTCCAGAACCAGACATCAGCAAGATATACTCGCAGGCAACATTGAAGACTTTGGCAAGAGAGGGACATGGACCGACCGATTCTTTCTATGTCGTACCCAGTACCGGTCACACCATGTCTTATGCGAATATCTTAAGTTTTGCAGAAAAGGAAAAGAGGCGTCTCGGGGCTTCGTCTCACAGCGACCTTCTTGATGTCCCCGATGAAGATGATGACGACTTTGTTGATGCCCGGGAGGCACCCTCGCTATCGCCTGGAGCCAAACGTCGCATCGGCCGTGCCAGCACTGACAGGGAATTAAACAACACTATCGAAGAATTATATACTGAAAACAAATCTCTTAAAGATATGCTCGATAAGCTGACCAAGCGTCTTCATGCATTCGAGGCCAGTGCTCAGAACTCAGCCATGGCTCTTGCTGAAAGCTACCGCCTCATGCGTCCTGGGTCTCCCTCGGCCTCCCCTCACCCAAGCAAGGTAGCAGATGAAAACTTGCGACGCAAGAATCAAGAGATGGAAGAACAACTCACTGCTGCCTTGAAACAGATGGAGCGGCTCGAGAAGGACAATCGTAAAATGCAAAAGGTTCTGGATAAGTATCGAGAGAAGTGGGAGACATTGAAAGCGGGCGCAAAAGCCCGGAGAGAAGCCCAAGGGGTTGGTGAGAGTATAGATGATGCTTCAACAGCTGGATAGAGATGTGATGATATACTGACTTTGAGATTCATGCAAATATCTATGGCAGCTTATGCACAGGCGATTCCTTTCTATAGGTATAGGCAATAAAACAAAAATATATCATCTTGCGTCATTCCACTATGAGGAGCTGTAGCTCAAGCTTACTGCTGGCACCACCTAAAACATAGGAAGATCATTGGAGTCTGAGGAGTATATTTCTGATAGAAGCTCATGTGTTCCACCAAAAACTTACACTGAAGCTCACGCTTAAACTCCTTACATAGTGCCACCACCCGATCGGAATGACTAGTGTATCTCCTGGTTCTAGTATACACTCCCAGTATTCGATGCCTTCAAGTTCCCTCCTCATCGATTCCAAGTCTTCCTCATCCATATCCTCAGGCTTATCATCCCATCCTTCCAGGACGCCCACGTCCAACTCACTTGTGTTACTCATGTCGACACCATGCTCGGGTGCTCTGGGTCGCATCGCAGATGTAGCACGTGGGGGATACAGCCGGATGTACTTTGCGCCTACGGCCTGACAGAGCAAGTTGTGATAACCATCTGTATGGAGAGGCGTGATGGTGCGGGCGGGTCCGAACCAGGCGTTGAGCTTAGGCACGTCGACGGGTGGTTGATTCAGAGACGGGGTTGTGGGATGAGGTGGAACATCAACCCAGCAGAAATCTGGGATACAGATGTCATTGCGCAAAGTTGGAATTTGCTGGAAGAGGTTATGCTGAGCGAGATAGCCGGTTTTGTTGGCCACAGAAGATTCTTTTTCGACATAACGGTTAAGAAATTCATGGAACGGTATCAAGTCCTGTCCCCAACCGTCATCGACGTAGCTTCGTCCAAGTTCAACTGGCACGAGACGTCTTCCCCCAAAAGTTTTGGATAGGAGGTATTCGGGATATTTCCAGGGTCGGTATGTGAGAGCAGGCCAGTCTCCGATCACATCTGTGAAGACAACGGGGCGAGGTTCGCCCGCGTTGCTGTTCATATAATCTTCGAATTGTGGCATTGTCCACCCGGAGTGCCGCGGACACTCCCTCTCAGGCAAAAGCTTTGGTCGTCCATAAGGTTCACGAGTCGAGAACTCCCGTTGAGATGATTTGTCATGCCTCTGACGTTTGAATGGTCTCTCTTTCTGTTCACCAGCTATCCAAGCCTCTTCAAGTAACGACAATGTCTTCTCAAGCCATTCGTTTTGTCCTCCACCACCAGCTGTGATGAGCGCTCTGTCGAGCTTCTCCACAGTTGCATCTAGGGCCTGTTCCGAAGGGTTCTCGCCCGTAGAAAGAGGACGCAGGAGGGTTTGGAGAGATTCTAGTACACAAGCGTCGGTATATATCTGGCGCCATACGAGGGGAAGAAGATCGTAGCGGTAGGCGTAGAATTTGGACGATGAGATAGATATCAAGTCGGCTATCCTTTTCTTGAGAAGTTCTTCATCAACGCTACATTTTTCATGACTAAGGGTTAGATGTTTGTGCAATGTAATTGTTGCGTGGGCTTGCCTGGCGAGGAGCTGTGTCATGGCATTCGCTGTAGGGTCGGTGTCATTTTCGTCAAACTTTTGTGTTTCTCCGTCGCCTGCAGCCGGCCCTCTCACTTTTACTTGAGCCTCGCCGCGTATGCCTGAGACATTTGAAATCTCGCCATGCTTCCTGTCTGGATGCCCAAAGAGTTCATAAGCTTTCTGGAGATATCTGATAAGGATTGATGCATATTCTGCTGACGCCATATTTTGACTTTAAGCCTAGCAAGCATCCATGAATATCGTATGTGCTTGACTAATGACCAGTGCGACGTGGACTTAGGTTGTCGTGCAAGTTCTGTGTTTGTAAGGTTTTATTGAAATTGTTGCATATTAAATTCTCAGGCTGGTGAGAAATATGGTAGTTTATGTTGAAATTGCCTTGTAACCAATAGGATGAAGCATTCCTTGTCAACCGTTATGGACACTGCAGTCAGCCAATTTTGCTCGATCCGTTACCCCTTATATGTATCACGAACTACATATTTACAATTTCGGAGAGATGCTCATGATACAAATCGTCATGAGCGGATTTCATTATCTTACAGATTACACACGTATATCTTAGCTTGTCCATACACCAACGATACCGTCTCGTCTGCCTTCAACAAGATACCCATCTCTAACACGTACACGCTCCACGATAGCTGGAGTCTTACCCTCCTCAGCTGCGCTGATGCCAGCGCCACATTCCCATTGTCGTCCCTCAACCTTATCGTACACCTTGACAACGTCCTCGCCTGCGGCGCTGACAATTCGCCGAGCATCGAACATCATGTCTGTGACAGGGTTATCGTATGCGTATGCGTCGTAGATAGACCCTGTTCGAAGATCCCAAATCTGTTGCTGTTAGCTAAAGCGTTCTTCAGATACCAAATGACAGTTACTTACTCTAATGCTTCTGTCCACACTTCCAGTCACCAGGTGCACGTCATCGAACTGAAGACATGTTACTGCACCGGTGTGACCGACCAGGCTTCGATGGACCTGCCCGCTTCGAAGATCCCACAGACGAACCATGCCGTCTGCTGTACCACACGCAAGAGCCGTCTCAAAAACCTGCAAAGCGCCGACGAAGTCGGCTGAGCTACTTTGAGATCGCCCTGTAGGTCGCCATGTGCTGTCCGTCGTTGTCATACTTGCTGCGGCTGCCCACATAACATCCAATGTTTGCACGCAGCGGCCCTTTTCAAGATCCCAATGGCGAATCGTCTTATCCGCAGAGCCGGAAACCATAACATCACCTCTGAAGTGAAGAGCCGTGATTTCATCAACATGTGATTCCAAGGTGTACAGTGGGCAATCAGCCATGCTGCCCGGCGGGGGCTCAAGGTGATTGTCCGTTCCGAAAGCAATGGCGTCCTCGTCGTCGTCTTTTCCAAGACCGCCATGAGGGTCGTAGTGAGCTTTGCTGAGATCCCAGAGTCGAATGGTTGCATCCACAGAGCCCGTTGCGAGGATGTTATCCTCAACTTGCAAAGCGCGTACCGATGCAGTGTGACCTTCCATATAACCCATACATCTACCAGCGTTAAGATC